AGAGAGAGAGAGAGAGAGAGAGAGAGAGAGAGAGAGAGACACAGAGAGAGATAGAGAGAGAGAGAGAGAGAGAGAGAGACAGAGACAGAGACAGAGACAGAGACTTTGCAGTGTAGGCTTATCTTACTAATTTTGTTTTCAAATCCATCTCATTAACCTTTACCCCCTAGAGTGGCTGGGTGTCTCCAGGTGGATATTCTAGAAAAAGGTTACCTCGTCACAAATATGACTTTACAAAAAAAAGGAGAAGAGGGCAGAGGCAAATTTCTGGGAGAAAAGCATGCTATTGCATCATCAACGATTGGGGTGTGGTTTGGGAAGCTGGTTGCTGATTTATCTAAATAATGTGCATATTAAAACAACTTTAAGTGGCATCAACCTTTGAAAGAGAACTATGGGCCAACCTTTTTTGGCCATAGTTCTCTTCAGAGTCACAGGAGGACATATACTAATGTCCTCTGGTGGCCCAAAACTCAGTATAAAGCAGGCTATTGCATGTTGGATGTTGATAGCACAGAGCCTAAGCCCTCATTCACACTGGAATCAGCCAGCAAATACAGCTCCGTGCAGGGCCGTACCGAGCAGCTCCCGGGAAGGACAGGTGCTGCGTGTGATTAGTACGCAGCCCCCGTCCTTCTCTATGGGACTACGCAGCCGTACGCCCCCCTACGCTCACCTCAATTGCAGGTCCGTAGGGGTGTGTGTTTCCTGGCTCGGACGCAGACGGGATCCATCCTGTCAGCGTACGAGTACGCTCACCCGCACCGACGTGCAGGGCGGGTGAGCGTACGGCTGCATACTCCTATAGAGAAGGACAGGGGTTGCGTACTAATCACACGCACCACCTGTCCTTCCCAGGAGCTGCTCGGTGCAGCCCTGCACATCGCACGGAGCTGTACGTGCGGGCCGATTACAGTGCGAATGAGGGATAAATGGTTTGTGTGTAAATCTTGTTATTCTTTTCAGAGAAATATGTTTTTCTTTTTAATAAAGATGATTAATCTGACACAAATATAAAATACTAGTTTTCAGAGATGACATCAGCCCTAAACTCGGCTGACAGCAACGCTCTCTTTTTATTTCAGCAATAAAATGTTTGAAAAACCCTGTATTCTGTTTTACGGTTGTTGTTTTGCTGCGTTCATACCTTGAGATGGTTGGAAGAAAACCTCAGTTTCCTTTGCTTTTAATTCAACTTTATGTGGCTTGTGTCCTAAAATGAAGTCTTCTTGAAAAACATGAAGCAGCTGTGTCCTTGATCCACACTAAGAATACAAAGAAATGCTTCAGACGTGAATACTGAAACTGTACTTAAGAATCCATCTACAGACACACGTTATAGCAGAGGTAACCAATGGTGTCAGGGTAGCAATGTATTAGTGTACCACTAAGCTACAAGGACTTTAACTACTTCAGAACCACTGTACACACACAGTGTACACACACACCCTGGTCTTGAAGTAGTTATATCAAGATCATGGTTGCCTGTTTGGGGTTTAAAAGTAATACTCTATCCAAAAATCCAGATTGCAGTATGCGTGTGCAAAAATGACAAAACTGCTCCTGTACTAAAGAGGTTAAACGGGAGGGATGTTTTCTGACTATAAAAAAAGCTGTATTCATGTAGTAGAGCTACACTACAGTGCAAGTATGACATTTTAGTTGACATATGCATCACTTGTTTGCCACAGAGCTATGAGACCTATTTCCAATGTGCTGCTGTGACATAGATACATACATAACAATAAATGTACAGACTAAAAGTATGATATAAGCACTTTCAACACCTTCATTAATAAATGTTTAGTGTTTAAGATAACAAAGTCTGTACTATAAATTAGAAGCATCAGTTAGGTGACAATGCCAACTGGTTGGCCTGCAAGATAAACACAAGACTGACAAAAGGAGAGAAGCCCAGTAAAATAAATACATATTTGCTAAAGAAAGAAAAGAGGAAGCAGTTATCCAGGAACAATTAGTCTTAACAGAGATGAACTTTTCTTTTACAATCTTGAGTTTGATTGCGCTGAAATGAAAGCAGATCAGAGGACAAGAGCTTGATACGCTCAGAAAGCTACTACAACATACTGTAACAATACTGTTACACTGACCAGTTAGACAAGGGCCTGTCAACACAGAGCAGGACCAGGCTGCATAGCGAATACACTTGGGAGATCCATGGGTGTAAGAGATGTCTAACATCTCTAAATGTAATTTTTGGAGTATATCTCTTATCCTCAGTCCAAATTTGGTTAGGAAGTATAAAGTACACTGACTGGTTGTTGGAAAGTTACATAAACCGTTCTTATTTCAATCAATTTGACAGTGTGTCATTAGGAAATCTCTCTTAAAAAAAGGACAGAAAACTAATCTCTTTAGGCTATGAACACAATCATCAAAAGCCATTATGAGGATTTATTATTAGCAAACCACTTTCCTCACTGCAATGACCAAGGCCTTGTTCACACCAAATGCAGACCAGATCTGCATGAGTTTCGGCACACGCAGTGCAGTGGGTTGTGCCACGTTTTTGATGCGTTCCGGGCCGCTTTTGGTTAAAAATATAGTTTAAAATGGGCTTTCAGTGTGTTCCAGGGCGTTTGCATGCGTTTTTGATGAGTTTGCATGCATTCCAGAGCAGGTAAAATAGGGACTGCTGCAGTTTTTTTACCTGCTCTGGAACGGAACGCTGCGATGTGAACTGGAGCTAAAAAATACAATTGGAATACATTGGACGCAGTTTTGCTCCGGTCTGTAACTGCTCTGCTCCTGGAACGCGTTTGGCCTAAACTACTACAGATTGCCATACCTTGTTTGTTATAGCATCAAGCTCGATGATACAGCCAGGGCGAGCAGTAGACTGTTGGCTGACAATATTAAAGACTTCCCCAATGAGTTTCTAAAGTGTAAAAAGTAATACAGTGTTATTATCAGAACTGTACAACAAAGATCATTCTCAAGGCAACCTTCTCTTTTAGTTATACTAAATTAGCCACAAAAGATTAAAAAAAAAAAAAAAGACTCTGGAGGTTTCCTTCAACAACCAAGACTTTCAGATGTCCATACACTTGCATACATTAGGCCCCATTCACTCCTGAGTGTTTCATATACGCGTGTCAAATGTGCAAAAAATGCGTGTTCTGACACACGTTCACAACATGTGTCAAAAATGCAAAACACGCTTGCTGTGACATTACCATTAATGGTACCCCAATCACGGTCAGGAAGACAAGCGTTCCTTCTCCGCATTTGCGTGCATTAAAACGTGCAAACGACCAGGAAAAAAACAACCATGTCGTTTCCTGGGATTGTCGCACACTCATGACCCCATTGAAATAAACGGGGACGTGTGGTAAACGCAGGAATCTAAAAAAACACGCACAAACACGCAATAAAAGCGCTGTGCGTTCTTGGTACACTCAGGTATGAATAGGGCCTTATTTGGTCATAAATCAGGATGTGTGTGGAGTACTTGCTGCCTGGATATCACTCAGATATGTGGAAGATGCAATTGTTTTATGAATGCATAATATGGACTTGTACACTGAGTGGCCAGATTATTATGACCACCTGACGTTTGTAGGCAAATTAGCAATAATTAGCTATAATTTCGCGCTGAAGTTGCTAGAGAGCCCAACCATTATAAATAGGGAAGCAGGTTGTTTACCATGACTGAAGAAGTGATTTTTTTCTGGAGATATGGGTAAACAACGCGATTTAACAGCCTTTGTACGTGGGATGATTGTTGGCGCTCGGAGCCATGGAGCGAGTATCAGCAATACAGCAGAATTCGTTAAATGTTCAAGAGGGGGTCATTGTTAAAGTGTTTAAAGACTGGACTGTCAGCCGGAAATCTGGGTGTGAACGTGCGAATTGTGGCCGTCAGCGACTAGTCAATGTTAGGGCAGAATGGAGAGTGGCAAGACAACAGAAGGACAACAGTGCAGTGTCAGATTCCTCGCATCACCTTTCAACATCTCGTGGAGTCACGAGGCGGCCCAACGAAGTCATGTCGTGGCCCAACGAAGTACTGATGGGGTGGTCATAATAATCTGGCCACTCAGTGTATACACAGCATCTATTTACGCCTGAACTGCTTTCCCAAAACACAGGTCATAGACAATGCAAAAGCAGATTAAAAAGGCTTGATGCAGCTTAGAAGGTCATGAGCAGGTCGGAAGAACCTGTGATGGAACTCCAAATGATCTCAGAAGAATCTCAAACTGATTTTAAATACAAGCGGAATGCACCTGAAACCATGCTGCTTTTGCCTTTTAACACAACCCCTATGGGAGCTACAAAATTGCTGAGTTCAGACATGCCCTCCTGGGAATGATCAATGTGACACAGACATCTCTCACTAGGTCACTTAGTTGCCTAAACACTGACCAATAATTCCATGTTCTCTGTGGCTCAGTGCTAATGCTAAACTTTGACAAACTGGTTAATGACCAGCACCATCAGGTGACTACTGTATTACAGAATCGGGTTTGTATAGCCATTCCTAATCACAGATTTACTTCACCATACCAATTACTTTTTTTTCTGAGGTTTGTATCATTTGATCAGCAGCAGATACTTGATATTCATAGAAAAAGTACACGCTGGAACAAAACAGCACAGTATTAAAAACTGAACAGAAATAGATCATAAGCATCTGGAAAAAAAAAAAAAACTTACAGAAGACTCGGGATCTGAAAGCTCATCCAATAGCTTTCTGGCATCGACCACCGCTTGGTATAACCTTAGATTGGACCCATCAGAGGCTACGAAGCAAGCACTGGCAGAATTACAGTATGTGCCTAAAAAACAAAATGATAGGAAACAATGACAAAATCTCAGTGATGGAAACTGACTACAGAAATGATACCTCTGCATTATTTAGAAGACTGATTACGAGAAAAAGAAAATGAATATCTCCTACCTCCAACAGCCCACAGACAAACAACTCTCAACATGCTGCTATTTTAAATGCTTGGCAGACTGCAGCTTTCTGAATCACTGGATATTCATTTTTATGCTGATACTGTGCTAACACTAACATTTATAGGGTATTATTTCTAGAAGGATTATGTATGTATGAGAGGGACCCCAAGCAACAGGTTTCTATAATTTTGTCCAGGTTTCAAAATCAAAAACAGACTATATTTATGTGATATCACTACATGTACGGTAGTTATAAAGCAATCACTCTCCCTGGATGCACGATCAATGCGTCCAGGGATAGTGATTGATTCCTAACCACATACTGTATAATCACATGACAGCTGCTGCATGTAAACGGCACATTAGGGATATGAACACACACAGACATTAAGGGCTTGGTCACACCATATACAGTGCATTCCAGCACGATTCGCTGCTGGAATGCACTGCATCGCATCCCAACTTCAATGTACCGTCACGCCCCTCCTGAATGCTGGAAGCCGCTGGGATGCAATACAGTGCGTTCCAGCAGCTAACTGCACTGGAACGCACTGTGTATGTAGTTAAATTTAATTTTGAAGTGAATTGAGTTTGAGACCCCTGTTCTAGTGAATCTATAGCCCCAAACGTTTGATTTTTTTTTTATTTGTAGATGGTGTGGGGAAAGGTTAGAACTGCTTTCAATTTTTTATTTCTGTACGTGTCCTCACTGGATGGACTTGCTATTTATCCTGGTGACCATTGTCCCCAAGACAAATAGTGATGGGAAATTCAAATTGTAATTGTTGTCACCAGAATAAGAGGTGGGATCTCCGCCTGGCATCCCTCAATCAGCTGATCAAAGGAGTAGGTTTGAAAGTTCTTGGCCGAACAGGCAGACGCTGTCAGTATACAACGAACACAGCGGGGGATTCGTCCATCCCGCTGTGTTTGTTGGAGGAATCTGTTCTGTTTTTTTCGTTCAGCCTGGTGGAAAAAAAACTGTCTGAGATGGAAATTCCCCTCACTTTGTAGAGATTTGCTCTCACTTTTTTGGATGGTAAGTGAAGGGAAATCATTAAAAAATAAACTGACAGGGGATAGGAAAGAATGGAAAATGGTAATTTGCTCTGACTACCATTGTGGGGACAGGGCAGTTTTTTTGTTTTTTCTCTCTGTGCAAAAAAATTAAGCACTGCGTGAACTTGGCAGAAATTAACATTTGGACAGCAGGCAGTGCCGCAACAAGGAGGACGCAAAGCCAGGATCACCATAGATCAGTGACATGTCAGCATAAGACTGGAAAGGACAGGAGCTGGAGTGCTTACAAAAATACATGTCACTGCTCTGAAAGAAAAGTGTACATAGTTAAAAAAGAATGCCAGGAAATGTAAAAATTAACCCTTGCAGTGGATTACCTCCAACTGCTGGCTGTGGTCTAGGGGCTGAAATAAAGAAATATTCACCTCTATGCCCCTCCGCCCTGGCATTGGAATGTTCCTTGGCGTACTCACGTCTAATGCAGCCGCATTAGATGTTATGACATCACAGGTCCTTAGACCGCCAGAGCCCGGGGGGGGAGGTGAGTATATCTTCTTTATTTTAGCCCCTAGACTAAAATGAGCATTTAACCCTTGCAGTGAGGGTGTTGGCCCACTGTAAGGGTTGATGTTAACAATTACTGGAGTTCTTCTTTAAAAGTTCCATGCTTTGCATACTAGCACATTATGGAACACTTACCTGTTGGTGCACCCTCCTCTAGCGGTGACAAGTCAGAGCTACAATCACCGCTCTGTAGGCCACTGCCTTCTCTGCTGGTTTTTCAGGTACCAATTGCGATTGACAGTGATGATGTAACTTCTGCATACATCATCCTAGTGCACCCAACTTTATCCTCGACATGCCAAGAATGAGCCGGGATGTATGCTGAACAGCGCAAGTTATTAAAGAAAAATTGCTAGGAGCATGGAGGACTTATCTCTTTTGCTAACAAAAAAAAACAGTTGGCCATAGCAACTTTTCAAAGAGGGAATTGCGTTCCATTTTAAGATAGCTGAAGTGTATGTAAACCCTAACGATGCTTACGCTTACATACATACATACTACAGTTCCCCTTTAATAGGATCTCACATTCAGGGAAATGGCTACCTGAAATAGCTACAAAAAATATCACATTGCACATTTAAGACACACACCTAGACAATAACTTGGAATAAGTGTTGGAAGCCAGGCCACATTGCAGAAGGCAGCAGTGCGAAGAGAGTTTATGCGTGCTAGTTCGGAGACTCCTCCACTGTACGATAAGGGTCCAATTGGATCAACGCGCCATAATATTAGCTCGCTATAAATTGCATTAGGGTCATGGAATGTCTGAGTTGCTGCATTTCCAAAATGTTGCCTAGGGAAACCTTTTAAATTCTTAACAGGATCTGTTACTTTACTACTTCTATCCACATCCCAGGGATTGAACTCGGAGTCAGGCGTCACCAGCACATTGTGATGAGAGGAAGTTAAAATCAAGGGCAGCACAGAATGACAAGCCAAGTCATTGAGATGGAATCTGTGACCGCAATATCGGAACTTGTGTGACACAGTGAGTACTGAAGAAAAAGCAGATCTATCAGCAAATGTAACTGCCCACTGATTCAATGAGCCATCGATATGCTTGGAGACCATCATAACAGTTGAAGCTCTCACACTGCTATTTGGAAGCGGTTTGGATATATTTAAACTTAGGTCACTTGCTGTCATCTTCTGTTGCAGTAGAGTAGAAGCGTCCTTAGCAGAGGTAGTACAAGCATACATCATTATGTTTTTGCTAAGAGAGCTGGCGTCCCCTGATGGAAAAGCGACAGGAATTCGTGAAGAAAAGGAAACCTGGAAAAGAAATGTGACACAATACATATGTAAAATACCTAGAATGTGTTCCTTGACTGGCTACCTTAATATATATTATGTGAAGTAAAACAGCTACAATTTTAAAAACAAACAAGTGACATCCAGTAAAACGTGTCATAGATGGTGGTACTTCTGAGAGAGCTACTTAGTAACAACACTGGCACAAGGTTGGCAACATGTATATTTTAACCGGCACAGAGATATGGATATGAAAGGTACACCCCTGTAAAAATTTAAATACTGAAGGGGAGGTATTCCCTAACCCACTGTAGGCTCCTTGATGATTCTCGCATAATAAAAGCCTGATATATCAAAATGCCATTGCTTAGAAATCTTTCACAACCTGCTCAGAATGTTTAAATCTGACTCGTGAAAAATGTAGTGAGATGCACAGGAACGTCAAGGAATCAGAAAGCGCCCTCCATCACCACTCTGCAGCTCTCTGGAATCTGACTGCAGTGGATAGCATACACTTCAGACTAAGCCCTGGTTCCCACCTGGGAGTTTTTGAGCAGTTTGAAAAACGCTTTTAACTGGCCAACACAAGAAATCCCATGATTTTCAATGGCCCTGGTTCACACCTGAGCAGGAAAACGCCAGTTGCCTGAAAAGGACACAGGAGCTTCTTTGGGCAGTTAAAAGCGCATTTTTGCCCCATAGACTTCATTGGAAATGCCCAAAAACGCGCAGCAGAAGCATGTTGCACATTTTCGTGAGCGTTTTCACACGCGTTCTTCCATTGCCCACAATGGTTTATGAGCTGCCAATCAAAACGCGCTTCTTCAAGTACGCGTGTTAAAATGCGCATACAAATGTGCACAACGCGCAAATAACCGCATGCTGCTAACGCGTGCACAAACATGGAAAACCGGTGCTGCCTAGGTGTGAACCAGGGCTAAAGGTAGACAGAGGGAAGCTTATTACTTTAGAGGGGAATTTATCAAAACTGGAGCAGACAAATTCTGGAGCATCTGTGCATGGCAACCAATCAGCTTCTCTCTCAGTTTGCTCAGTTAAGATTTTAAACTGAAAGAGAGGATCTGATTGGTTGCCATGCACATCTATTACAGATTTTGTCTGCTCCAGTTTTGATAAATTCCCCCCTGTGCATCATATACAAATTTTGTTAAATTAAATATTTGCTTAAACTTTTTTTTTTTGATCCTTTTCTGCGTCTCAGTACTGCTGGTCTCCTCCAATCATTTACAGCCACTTCCTATCCGCACTTACTCTAGCATCAGCTGCATGGCTTTTCTCAGGGCAGGTTTCTTGGTAAACAGGGACAGGGTTGACACCCTACAACTATTTTAATGAAAACTGAAGGTTTAAAAAGACTGACAATGGCTTTTGAAATTGCAGTACCATGTTACGCCTACATGAGATTTTAGTGATTGGATTTACATATAAATTTAATCATATGTACTGGACGATTCCCCAGTTATGTGACAGTTATGTGACTTTCAGCTATGTGACTGTCTTTAGAAGAAATAATATTTGTAGCTTTGGGATGATTCTTCAGCTTCTGAGGTTATGGAAGCTTGATCCCTCATGGAGCCATGTGCCTATTATGTCCATGATATCAGCATTGTGTTTGCTATCACTAGGAATATCCGAGTCGTGGCATTTAAAACAACCCAGCAATTGTTGCCATCAGAGACTATGACCATTAACAGACTGGAAATAAAAGTGGACGACAAAAATACTGCACTAGCCGAAATCTAAACTTTAACACTTGAATCTACTATGTGGGCTCGTCCGTATTAGATATTCATTTCTCTAAATAGCTGTAAAAGAATTACAAAACTTATTTTTAGATAGCAAGCCCATGTTGGTTTGTTATTCTTCCAAGCTGTGCACAGCAGCATGTAAATGCCAGGAGGCCCTTGAGCAAATCTGTTTTCTTCTCTCTGTGAATAAAACGCCCCCGACCCCATTACTCTGCACTAGGGAAACACAAGCATTAGAACAGCCTCAAAGTACAAGTGAGGGAAGCCGAATCAGTGATGGGTGCACACAGAATACAGAGCACAAAGGCCACAGTTCACTTGCATCAGATACTCCATTCCAATATATGCCTTGGTAAACACCGCAAGACAAATGCAGTGCAAACAAACAAAGCTTTCAGCAATATTTTTGCTTCAGGGAGAGCCAACAGCGGTGTTATACCTACTGTGGAGTCCAAGTAGGTAATATAAAGAATACTTAAAAAACCAGCAAGGAACCAAAAACATTCACATCTCAGGAAGGCTTATATTTGTAAATTCTCTTCCTGAGTACTGCATGTGTACAATACACCTAATATATGACGCAAAAAGTATGTTTGTTGTACTATACACAACACAAAGAGTATGATACCAGGGGTCAGTCTGTAAACATTTGTAATGCAATCAAATAAAACATTTTATATATCGTGTTAATTAGGGATGCACCAATACCGAGTATTTGGGCGAGTACTCATACTTGCCCAAATGCTCCGGTGCCTAGCCCGATACTTCCGGTATCAGGAAGCCTAGCAGCGCGTCATTACACGCTGCCCATCTTCCTGATTGGTCATGAAGCCAGCTTGTGACGAGAGAGCATGGGGCCGGCTTCCCAGCCAATCAGGAAGCCAGGCGCCGTGTAATGACGCAGCGCCCGGCTTTCTAATTGGTTAGGAGGCCGGCTTCATGCTCCCTCATCACGAGGGAGCATGGAGCCGGCTTTCCGGCCAAACAGGAAGCTGGGCACCGCGTCATTACACAGCACCAGGCTTCCTGATTGCCAGAAAACCGGCTCCATGCATTCCCGTCACCTAGTGACAAGAAGCATGGGGACGGCTTCCCTGCTAATCGAGAAGCCGGGTGGCGAGTCTTTACACGCTGCCCGGCTTCCCAGCTAATTAGGAAGCCAGGTGGCGAGTCATTACACATCACCTGGCTTCCTGAATGGGACTTCCGGTACTCGGTATTAGCGAGTAGCGCAAAAACGAATATCGGTACTCAATACTGAAATACCGGTATCGGTGCATTCCTAGTGTCAATGGCACATATGCAGTTTTTGTGATAGGATAACCCATATGTATTTGCATTTTGCAGCTGCACTTCTAGCTTTTAAAACAGGGCAGGCATTTTGCGAAATGTAACCATTCAACCACCAAGTATAACAATCTCAATCATCTGGACAATTCATTTAGAGCATATGATGATGAAATGCATCCGCAGAGGTTAAAGGTTTACTGAAGACCGCATGCCCAATTGATTTAGAGTTGGATCTGACATTCTGATCTTCACTACTGGCCAATGAGGCTGTTCCTCACATAAGGCAACCTACAGAGTGTGCTTGTGGGATTTCCATCAATCATATGGTTAGTTTGAATTGCTCATGTTTTTTTGTATCTATGCAGTATGTTTCTTAAACAGCCAGTGCACCCTAAATTGATATTTGTTTTGATCATAGGTGGAGTCTTACTATTCCGAGTCACTATCTAGCGTGCGCGGGTGTCCCCACAGTGCATGCAGGTACCCACGCAGGATGACCAAATTAGTATAACCACACTAGATAAGGTTATAGGCACACAGTTTATTAAACAGCAACACAAAAACACAACAACCCCACCAACCCCCACAAGTATCAAACGATAACCCAGGAAATACAAACAGGGTATACAAGCCAGGTAAACCCAGTGGTGGTCTGATACCTGACAGTTCCTGGCTTCCTGGAGACACCTGCAGGCGAGCACAGGAACTGCAGGTACTGGCTCCAGCGCCACCTGGAGGTGCTCTGGATCCTGACACTTGTTTCCTGTATATCGTGGGGGCTTCAATTAAGATCTTGATCCAAATGGTCTGCAAGTATGACCAGACCCTAACAATCCTATGTCCAAGCTTTCTAGCAAAGAGAGCCAGGTAGGTTGGTTTAATTTCTGGCTCAAGATATCTGCTAAGCACTCCCTTCTTAATAAGAACAAGCAAGCACAGTCTCCCAATGTTAATGCCATAATCTTTCCTCAGATGGTATGTTCACCAGGTAGACCTGGTAGCTTTACTGGCTTACATCCTTCATTACTATTAAAGCGGAACAATGTTTATTACGGTCTTCTAATCGTTATGATTTCCCTTCATCTCACTGTCATAAGATAAAATCAGACATATGCAGCACTATTGGGCTGTAATACACCCATTTATTTGTTGTGGCAGGACTACGGACCTCACGTCACAAAAGCATACTGTTGTCCCTGTCAGAAAAGGAGTAGAAAGTCTGCATCTGAGATTTTGCCAAAGGCTATCAGGGCTACAACATAGGAGTCACATATCTTTATGCAAGCTGTGGCATTTGCAAAAACTGCAATCTCTGTAAATGTAATGTATTTAAAAAATAACACTGAAGAAAACCACGGTACTTTCTAAATGTAAGATTACTAAAATAAATACCTGAACTTGTCTAAAGATTCCTGGATTGTACTCATCCAAGTAGTTCACATGCCACAACAGAAAAGTGCCATCCACAGGGTGAATGGTGAAAAGCATATCTGCGTTCTTGTTCCATTCGGTGAGAAGGGATTCAATTTTACGGTCCAATAACACTGTTGGTAGTGGCAAGGTGGAACCAGGTGATGAAGCTTTAGTACTCATATCTTTTTCTGCGTCTTCATGTTCAGGAGAACCAGTTAAAGATCCTCCGCCCTCTGGCTCACCTAGAACAAATCAAAGCATAAGGCACAAGCTATGATTTACAGGTTAATAAACACGCAGACAAAAGTAGCATGTTTTGTATTAAAAATTTATGACCTGTGAGTAAAAGGAGTACTCCAGTGCAATTAAAATGCAGTACAGCTCTATAAAATGAGCAGCTGTTAAATTCATAAACATACTCAATTAACTCTAATCTTTTACATATGTTCCTTGGGATTGAGAGTGGAATTGGTACAGAAATAAGCAGCTCACCAGTATCCATTTTCACAAACGAAAGCATACATAGATCTACTTTTCAAATGCTCTACATGATAACTTTGTATGCAGCAGCAAAGGTAGGAAAGATATTACTGATCACATAAACTGAGCTTTGTGCCTGCTTTAGCCCTGCTTAGCTATAAGATGAAATGAGACAGGAGAGGTGGCTACTAGTGATGATTCTGGGCTTGGTGCGAACCCAGTACACCAGAATCTCGGCCCAATCAGTTGTTGCAGCCACATTCCCCACATAGCAACTATATGTCACAATAGGGCAAGGAATGCTTAAGGCCACAACTGCCGCTACTGATTGGGCTGGAAAGGGGGCGCTGTCTACAGTTTTGAGGGGGCTTAAGAGAATTCAGCCGAAGTGGGTTCACACCAAGCCCAGGCTCTTCATTATTGGCCACACATTCAAACCAAACATTAAAATTTTTGTAGATATATCTGACAGCTAGAGGAAATATGCATGGATATGTTGTTTAACCGCCTCCCGGCCGTTGTAATTAAATGGCCGGCCGCGAGCGGTAACTGACAAAATGTAAAAACAGGCAGCAATGCCTGTTTACATACAAGCGATCCGCCGGCTATAGAGCCGGCGTATCGATTGTATAAGGTGCCGGTCTGTAGGGCCATCAATCACAGATAAACACTAAACTGATGAGCGGTAAAAGCTTTTAAAGCGTCGCCTATGGTCAATTTGGGTATGGTAGATTTTTGCAATTTCGCGGGTGCGCGCAATTTTAAGGCTTGACAGGTTTGGTGTCTATTTACCCGATGTGACCCCCGTCTTATATATTTTACCAAAAAATTGGATAATAAATGTATTATAACAATGTAAAAAAATACTTTTTTTCCCAACATTCAGTAATTTTTCCTTAATATAGTAAAAAATAAAACCCCCAGTGGTGATTAAATACCACCAAAAGAAAGCTCTATCTGTCCCAAAAAAATGGTATAAAACTAATTTCAGTACAGCGTTGCATGACGGAATAAATGTCAGTCAAAGTACCGCAGCGCTGAATACTGAAAAATGGCCTGGCCAGGAAGGGGGTGTAAACACTAGGTCAGCAAGTGGTTAAATGAGTTAATAATAAATATGACAGACAGCACACAATAATCAGCAATGCATAAACCTTTAACCAGAGGATTCTGAAAATGATTTTGCTATGTCCTTATCCAAAACAGCTCAGCAGCATTTGTGTTTACAGGAGAAGCAGGATGATAAACTAACCATTATCCAACTTCATTTGTAAACCGTCTTCATCTTCCTCATCATCGCCATTGTCCAACTGCTGCTCCACAATAGTTTTCAAATGCTGAATAAATACTTCAGTGGATGATGTAAAATGCAATTCCTTGTTATTGAGCCAGTGAACTACAAAGTTCCCATAACCTTCGTCAGGGTTGAATGCTAGACCAGCCAAAACAGACGGAATATCTAGAAAAATGATTGAGAAAAATATGGATTCATTCGTACTTTACAGTTGTTGCTCTAAAACAAATATGCCCAGTTATAGACAAGCTGTCTGAAACAGCACTAGGGGGTTATGTGTTAAGGGATAGGTTCTGAAAGAGGGGTTCAAGAGGAACTTTACCCATAGCTTTAAAATAACAACAAAGGCACCTTTAGAAATGTTTAATAATGAGAATCTACAAGCAGATAATTCTAAAAAATTTCCGGCTTTGTATTTTTTGCATACCTTATTTTTACAGATACTCCTCGCTTAACGACTTACCTGTTTTGCGACCACTCGCACTTACGACCGTCCTCCGACCGACCTCCGACCTCGCGCGTCAGCGCCAGTGCGACGTGTCGCCGGGGGAAGTGACGTCCTCCGTTCTTCACAGCGCGTCCCCGTGAGTATTTTCATTGCCCGATGTACAGTACACTGTTCAGTACTGTACATCGGCAACGCTATACAGTACTGTACTAATGCAGTACAGTACTGTATAGAGTTCCTCACTTAACGACCAATTCGTTTAACGACCTGGTCGTAGGAACGGAACTCGGTCGTTAAGTGAGGAATACCTGTATTTTCTTCCCCAGTCTTCTAACAGTGGCCATTTAAACTAAGGGCAGGTTACTAAATCTCTCTTTACTTCCTGGAACTCTGGCACTTGTGACTAGGACATGTGACCATGCACATCATCTCAGGGGAGAAAAAAACCTTTCCCTGAGATCTCTCGAGGTAACCTTCCCAGGATGCAACGCATGGTCACGATTACATCATTTGTGCCACAACTGGACCAGGAAGTGAATGAATTCTATTTCTAAGTAAATGAAAAACATGTTTGTTTAACCCCTTCGTGACAGGAGACGTACACTGTACGTCCAGCCACAAAGGGACCAAATGACTCGTCACGTACACTGTACGTGACGAGTTATTTGCTGCACTAGAAGGCTGCTAACCGCTGAGAATCAGCGGTTACCTTTCAGTAATAGATGTCTAACTATCTAGAGATCCATTACTGAAAGGGTTAACCTTTTTCAGACACCCGATACCTTAATATCGGGTGTCTGAGAGTCACAGCAAAGCAGACACACATGTCGGCTTTTGCCGGCATTCTGACAGCTCGTATAGATCGAGAGATATCTCTCTCAAGCTATACTGGCTTTTTTTTTTTTTATCTTTTGACTTTCAAGAATAGATACAAAATGTTATGTATTAGACACATAATGTATCTATTCTTGAAAGTAGAATGTTTAAGTTTTCTGAAACATTCACTGACAGCTGAATCCTGAACTGCTGCAGGATCAGTGTCACTAACTTATTATCGGCTGTTCTGAAGTTTGAAGCAGCCTGATAATAAAAAAAATGTATTAATTTATCAAGCAGTAATAGTGAGATTAATTCACAATGACTGCCTGATATAATTAAATAAATAAAATTTGTCAGTATAAAAAAAGTGAAAAGTGTAAATAAATTAAAAAAAATAGTGAAAAGTGTAAAAAAATTAAAAATAAGGGACAAATAAATGAATGTATGTATTGCATTTTTTTTTTAGCTGTGCTGGTTTTGTTAAAAAAAAATACTACAAATCAAAACTGGGAAAAAAAGTTTTTTTTTACGTTTTTTCCTCTTTTTTTAATTTGTATTTGTGCTAAGTGAGGCGTTAGACACACATATGTGATATAAATATATAGCCCTATCTGTCCTCTAAAAAACAATATATAATATGTGTGGGTGCACTTTGTAAGAAAGTATATTACTGACGTGGAAGAATCACACAGCAAAAATGTCAAAAGTGTGTCAGTCATTTACGAACAGAAACCAAAAACAAGCTCAGTCATGAAGGGGTTAACTAATGAATGAAATATGATTTTAAATCAAAATGCAGAGTGGCATGCTGATGTGATTTTTAGTGAAACGGTGTAAAAGATCCACTTTAGGGGTTTGTTCCAGGGGTAAAAAAATTAAACAAATTAATTAAAAAATGCTAAGTAATATGCAGACATCTACCAGGCGGCTACACCAAACAAGTAAAATATTTCAAACAAATAAGATAAGTCTGCTTTGATTTTTCTCATATACTTTTTAAAACAAAACCTTCTGTCCTGATTACCACTGTCCATGATACAGAAAATCTAAAGGTGCCCATACACCTGCCGATTATCGTACGATAATCGCGGGTGATACCGCAATCGTACAATAATCGGCAGGTGTATGGGCAGCGTGGGACCGCTTCTACTGCAAGGTTGCACGACTTTCGTCTACCGAGCACACTCGAAAACCGGGTGAAAATCGTACGATTTTCGGTGGGTTGGTAGCGTGCTCGGAAGAAGAATGCCGCACGGGTCGGTGTGCGCAAGCGCACACTGCCCGCTCAGCACTGCAATCATCTGAAGCCCTCCCCTCAGCGGGGAGGGCTTGCGATGATCGCAAGTACGATCTGCCTGTCCAAGATGGGCAGATCGTACAAAAGTTTAATCACCTTACAACCATCGCACAACAAACGTTGTGCGATGGTTGTAAGTTGTATGGCCAGCCTAACAGTTGCCACTTGAACAGCAGTAGAGGAGATTTCTCCCAATAGTGACACCTGTTCTGGTTAAAACTGTCCAGGGTCTTTTACTTTCTGCTGTATATCCAGGGGCTCATAGATATGAAAGAAGATCAGACATGTAGGCAGGATCAGACCACTCTCAGAAATTCTAGTTTAGGTAACTGGATAAGACAGGGTGGACAATGTGCAGTAGAGGAGTTTGGAGAGTATGACAGTGGGCAGTATGTGCAGTAGAGGAGTGTGGAAGGTATGACAGTGGGCAGTAGGAGTCTAGAGTTATGGCAGAGGGCAATACACTGAGGGGAGAATTGTGGATAGTATAAGAGGGCAGTAAATCTTTTAAATAACAAATGGTGGTTACTAATCCTCCTAAATCTGCAACAAAATAACAAAGAATCTGGTCACAGCCAAACAGGTGAATGACATAGGCTCCCAATAACGCATTTGGCACCCTATATACCCTACAAGTAAATTATAAAGCAGTAGCACGGGAGCTAAGCTCTTTACAGAGGAGGAACAGAGGTCAAAATCAGTGACCAGGAAATGGACCCACTAAAATGAAAGGTTATTCAAGGACAGTAGGTGGATGGGAATTGTGTCAACAGCCAGTGCTACGGACTGTGAAGGCGGTAGGGAGGATATTGACACTGAAACAGGAGGAATGTGACAGTGTAATTATGGGGGTTGAAAAGGAGACAACAAAATGTAATCAATGAATGTAATCAATGTAGTGCTGAGGACATAGGAGATGGGGCAGGACTGGACTTTTGCTGGCCAAGATTCCCTTTAGACCAGAGTCAGTTTTGAATAAATGTGAGGGATTATCACACATACGCTGGAGATTGGGTGCTGAGGGGTTAATGCATATGCGCTGCAAATGGAGAGGTTAATACACATGTGCCAGGGACTGGCTGCTGAGGGGTAAATGCACATGAGTTGGTTACTGGCAGATGGGAGATTAATGCACATAAGAAGAAGAATAGATACAACACATAGAATTGGTGATGGATGAGAGGTAATTGGGTACTAGGTACTTAGGAGGTTAAATACATGTCTGGAACTGAGCACTGAGGAGATAGGGCACATGGGCTTAGGACTGGACATTGAGGAGTTATCATATATGCATATATAGAAATTGTTTCTGTGGGGTTAAGGCACCAGAGCTGGACTCTAAGGGGATCATTTTGAAATGCTGGGGACAGGTCACTGAGGAGTAAAAAGCACACACACTGAATATTCATCACTGAGGGGTTGATGCAAACACTCCTGTGTGTGTGATGAGTGTGTGATGTAAGTGGTATACCACTGGGGAAGGAGAAGGGAGAGGCTGATTGTCACAGTGGAAAAGTGCAAGTATAACTGAAAGTATATGATATAGGAATAAAAATAAAGACACAAATATATTTACCTGTGTTGGGATTTATACTTGCTGCTATGTGAAAGTGACATAGGGAGTTAGCATGATGTGAGATGTGTCTGTGGGCCTCCTGCTGGCTTGGCTGACTTGGTAGCAATTCTGTGTGAGCAGCTAGAACAGAAGACCGTCTTCTGCCTCTCCTCAGGTGTTTCAGATGATGAATTGTCTGTATAAGAAAGAATAAAAACTCAAACAGGTCATACAGATGTCTACCTACGGATATATACCTAACGATTGTGAGAATCGCAACATTAAATTTGGTTCTTGTGCTTGGAAAATAAATCTATTGGGGTATATGCTAAGTTATTAACATGGAATAAGGATTAGAATTACATTGTGAACATTTTTGGAAGAGGAAGTATCCGTACACACTGAACCATCGCTCTAAAGCTGAGGTTCAACAGACACTGATACCTGAAAATTCAGCAGTTATTAAGCTATCTTTGTAGCTCAGACTATATCATACACCCTTAAGGTGCCCATACACTGGCCGAATTTCGGCTGGTTTTTAATATACCGGCCGAAATGTGCACATAGTGTGGGGCAGTGGTTCTCAACCTGTGTGACCTCAGGACCCATATTTGTCCTTGGTCGTTAAGTTGCAACCCAAGTTGCACTGCAATAGAACGCTCGGCATTAGGGTACCACGCGTTCCGGTGCGGGGACGTACGAACTGTGGGTGGCAGGTGCTTTTGGGGAACCGTTCAAATGAATGGTAACACAACACACCTCCCACGCCAGAATGCACAGTAGGTGCGATTGCATGGTACTATGCAATTAACGCACTGTACTAGTGTGAACGGGCCCTCAAAAACACTAATAGACACACACAATCTCACACACATACACACTTCAAAAATGTTTTCATTTATTTATTTTTTTAAGGTCCACCCAGTCTCCCTACCTGAACTGGAGTGGATCCTCAGTCTGGTGTCCAGTGCTGTGCTGTGGCGGAGCTCCATCCATATGTGCACTGCCTGTACAGCTCCCCCGCGTGCCCCGCAGAGGCGCCAGGAGCCAGAATGTGATGCCATTCCGGTCCAGGCACCTCTACAGGACACGTGAGGGAGCTGCAAGCCATGCACACATGGTTGGAGTTCTCTCCCAGCCATAGCCCCAGCCCACCTCAAGCTGATGCTCAGCGTCGAGCAGCATATTTTGAATGGCTGCTTGGCACGAGAACTGGCAGTGCTGCGCTAGGGGGAGGCTGAGGAGTCTCTCACCTAGAAAAGTGGAAGGCTTGTGGGGACCCACTGAAAACGGGGTCCCCCGTGGGTCGCGACCCACTTTTGAGAACCTAGGGTGTGGGGGGCTGTCGGCTGCCTTTATGCCGCCATGTGTCCCAGCGTGGAGGAGAGAAAATGTGACAGCCGGCCGAGCGCAGCGGGAGGAGAGCGCTGAGAGCGGCCAGCGTCTCTCCTCCCACACCACTCAGCCTCCTGTCACAGAATGGCAGAGCGGTGTGTGGGCGGAGACAGGCCGCGCTGTCACTAGAGGCTGAGCTCTCCTCCCTACACGGCTCGCTCAGCCTCCTGTGACAGTGTGTCAGGAAGGAGAGCTAATGCAGACACTGAGCGATCAGTGATCGCTGAGTGTTTGTAGATAATTGAGGACATAGTATGGTTACTGTATCCTCAATTATGAATGAATGGGAACTGATCTACATCACCTACTGTTCATTCATGATTGTGGTTATAGTAAACACACTATGTTCTCATGTTATGAATGAACAGAGGATTCCTGTCATTTATAACAGGGGCTGCAGAAAAAGAGATTGAGGACTCTGTGCTCTCAATCTCCTTTTCTATTTTAAAATGGAAATGTCAGGGGTCTGTTTAAGCGTTTTTTTATTATAGCCTTGGCATCTGTGCAAAAAAGGTTAAAAATTTATTTTTCTTACAAGTATAATTTAATTTTTAATGTTAGTGAAAACATGTACATATGTAAGCTTAAGAAATATTACCTCAAGAGCATGCTCAATCTTGTCTTTTTGCTTTCCAGTAAAGGACAAGCTACTGCTGCAGCTGCCATGCTCAATTATTTGCCCTCCAAGAAGGCTATCTTCTGGCAAAAGGGTTTCTGCCCAAAGGCGACAAATACCATCCTGACAGGATGTAAGTAAAACATTGCACACCGAGCCCCTGAAAGCAGAAAAACATTAACAAAGTAATATAATCTAGTTGTTACAGATCTGAAAAGTTATGGTTGATGTTGATGTAGAAAAACATTAACAAAGTAATATAATCTAGTTGTTACAGATCTGAAAAGTTATGGTTGATGTTGCTAGTAAGCAAAGCAAAAAACGAGTTAATGTAGAGAACAGAGTTAAATATGTCCTTGCATCTACAAAATGAAAGTACATTGTTTAAACGTTTAATTACATTATATTAATTAGCATTTAAAATGATGTTCCATTAAAACATTTTAAATGAAAAAGACAAAATAGTGCCCAGCACTGACCTGTTCTTAAAACAAAATGAATCCGCCCAGAGAGCTAATTATTAAGCAGTGACAGAATCTAAATGTTATTCAAACTGACCCCAGACTGGCCAAACTAAATGCAATGCTTTGTTTGATTCCTAAAAGCACATTAAAGCAAGCTGCTTTGAATTGCTTCTTAGTCTGTAGCCCATGCAAAATAAGCCTTTGGGCTAAGGTAGATGGGCTTCAGACTCAAAAAACAGCCGCAGAGAAATGGCTTTAAGATCAGTTTGCAGTGCAATTGGGAAGCATTCACACTGACTTGTTTAAAGAAATACAAGCGAAGCAATGCAATGTATAGAAAAGTAAAACAAGCCCCAACTGTAGGCTGCTTTATAAGATTCAGCCACTGCATTCCATGTTAAAAATGCTTCACAAACATGTCCAAAGGAAACCACAAGTTAGTGCCACAATTCTGCTTAGGCCATGATCCACACACCATTGTACACTGTACAATGAGGAATACAGCTTTATTATTTCCTAGTTTAGCTTAACAGCTTCTTGTATAACACTTATTGAATAACAAATTAACATGAATGATACCAAGTCATTGTCCTTTGAGCAGATAGGAGGTAGAAAGGTGACAAGCTGAATAGCTCAACCAACATATAGTGGTGTCACCTGCTTGACTGTGCAATATGGCAGCTGAATATATATTACAAGACTGGTGAGAAGAATTCCAAATCATTTGGCAAATAAAAGTTAATAGAATTGTATTTCAACTGTCTTTTGCCATTTGTGTTCCGCTTAAATCTGTAATTGAACTGCTTGTTTAAAAAGAGAACCTATCCTAAATCCCACATATATAACAATATGTATTTAGCTGTTTGATTGGAATTCCACTTTGCCTGCTACCAGCACACCTGCACATGATGGAAGTGTTGTACCTGCTGCATTCCTCTATGTTGAGCACACGTAGGCAACCTCGGTACTCCGGCTGTGGTGAAACTATCAGTCCTCACATGCCTCTGCTATTGGGAGTCATGCATGTGGCTCAATCTTGCAATGGTTATGGGAGTTGTAGAGGTTCCAAAATGATACTACACAATTCCACTAGATATGATCTATTATTATGTATAGGCTTTGCTTATTGCTTTAGGAATGCAGTGACATGAAGATAGACACGTCAAGTTATACGACAGTTATACAATTGAAAACCTTGAATAGTTTTTAGCAGTTAGCCATTACATCATTTCACTTAGACTCAAATCATACAAAAATTAGTTCCCGAGTGCAGTAGCCAAAGCAAATTACTGTTATTAAAAACACCAGTACGAAACAGGAAAGGTTTTCTTTCCCCGCAAAACACTTACTCTCATCACTGTTTGCTTTAAGGGCATACCCTACTGGACAGAAACAGCATAAATCAACACATTTTATTAAACCGCCAGTAGAAAAAAAATAAATGATATTGTATCACTTCTCTCGTCTACAACCATGCTTTTAAAAAACGGATCAATCAAATATATGGATTTTTACCTTGGCATAAACCTGCTTGTGCTTCTCCATGAAAATCCAATCACTGTCCGGGGATGGGCAAGGTACACAAATGAAAAGTTGACATCCACTTGTTTCTCTTGACTTTCACGAAGCAAAAAAGATGATTTCCACCCAGAAAGAGGATACCAGACTTTTAAGAGACAATCATCCTGTGAAGACAGCAACTGGTTTGTCTTTCAGTTGACAAGGAAATATGTAAATATACTGGGGGGAATTTATCAAAACTGGAGCAGACAAAGTCTGGAGCAGTTGCCCATGGAACCAATCAGCTTCTCTCTTCAGTTTGCTCAGTTAAGCTTTGAAAATGAAAGAGAGAAGCTGATTGGTTGCAATGCACAGCTGCTCCAGATTCTGTCTGCTCCAGTATTGATAATTTCCCCTCCATTCAGTTTCAGCTAGAACATATTGAGTTATTTTTGCAGCGATCAAAACCATGTTTTCCGCGTCTGTGTTGTTGCATTAAATGTAAAGATCTTTAGAGTGTCCACTAGAGCTTACGGGCAGTGCCCTCCTTACCATCTTGACTTGAATTGTATTGTGATTGTAATGTCTTCCTTATATTAAAGTGCTTATAGTAAAGTGCTGAGCAAACTGTTGGCACTATATAAATCCTGTATAATAATAATTGAGCTGCTAACTAATGCATTGTTTTCAGTGACTCGGACAAGTCATAGCACTGTAAGAAGGAACAGTCAAGCACAACCATTGTGTAGATAAGGTAAAGCATGCATATGTAATGAGCAAATATGGCTGCCCCCACATATAATTTAAAAAAAGTGTATACAATATATATAGAAAGATCCCTCAGGACATTCAAACAACGGAACAATTAGACATTTATTAATATATAATAAATGGCATCCAACAGTCATATAAATTGGAAGACAAGCCTGGCTGTGCTGAAATGTGAGCTGTGATATTACTTCCGACCTTACCCCACTCCAACACTGAAACGTCTTCTCTCCAAGACTCACACCTCTCCTGTCCCTGATATTCTTCACAGAATACTGAAATGTTCACTCTCTGGAACCTCACTGCCAGCCTTTGATTAATTATAACCAAGTAAAACTGTGCTGTGATTCTTAGAGACAAGGGTTCCATGTGTACAGGAAAGTGAGCTTATTATAAATGTCAGTCAAGTATAACAGACACTTATGAGATAAAATAGTAATGGGTACATTTATTAAAAAGAGAGATGAACAGAATACAATGGATGCATTTATCAAAACTGGAGCAGACAAAATCTGGGCAACCAATCAGCTTCTCTCTCTCATTTTCAAATCTTAACTAAACAAACTGAAGAGAGAAGCTGATTGGTTGCCATGGGCAACTGTTCCAGATTTGATAAATTATCCTCTGAAAGTTGTGTGTGCCAGAAACAAACATAATACCATCTTTGGGTGAATTGATGCTGTATTATCCAAGTAACATTTCTCCTGTATAACAAAATATAATTAAAAGCATTTTAGATTTGGATAAAGCAGTGAGATAGAACCACTGTCAGGTGTTATTGCTGTGCCCCTGTGTGTGAGTGGAAATCTTCCAATAGGGACACTTGTTCACATTGCAAGAGGGGATTTCCCTCTATTTGCAAAGATATCCTATAATTTCCTGTTGTGTCTACAGGACAGGAAGTAATAGGAATCTCCCTAATTACAAAAATAAATGACAACGGTTTCAACCCTCCCCGACTCTCTATAAAGAAAAGCAGTTAAGGCTTTAGATATAGTTGGCTGAGCTGATTGTCGCAAGCACTGTTTGGCTGACCACTTTCCAACATGTTCTTTCAGCAAAAGTCAATCTAATGATCGACTTCTGTCAAGGGAATAGGGTCACCAACGGATCAGCAGCAGGAATCGGATGAAATTTGCTCCGTGTGTACCCAGTTTAAGAGCAGGAAGTGAGACATCCTATCACTAACTGATGCGCTACCATGACTCCACTAAGCCAATAGAAAAGGATTATTATTATTATACAGGATTTATAAAATCACCAACAGTTTGCGCAGCACTTTCTAAAATAAAGAGAGACAGTACAGTTACAAGGAGGGGGAGGGCCCTGCTCACGGGAACATACAACCTAATAAAAGGATTCAGGTGCATGTAGACTTTTCTACAAACTGGGAAATCTCATGCAAAGCATACAGCTTGGTCAGAAGTCCAAATTATCTACATGGCTCCATGCTTGTTAGACAGATGGCAGCAATGTCTGAAATGGTTAAATAGGTAAGGCTATTTTAGGATTACAGTCACATAAGGAAGATCATTTACCTATTAAGTCAGTGTTTTAATCAACTATTTACAGTGTTTCAATGAGAAGTCACTCTGCTATTTTACCTATTAATTGGGTAGTTAGGTTTTTTTATAATATTGTCCTTCTCTTAATTACTAATGCTCAATTACTTTCCCCCTCTGCTTTGACTTTAAATAAATACATTTACCCCACCTAAATAATCTATTCATAAATAATGTATTAAAGTCAAATAACCGGCTCCATCTGCTGCTTTACTCAGAGAGAATTTCATGGGGAACCACAGGCTCCAAACCGAGAGAGATCAAAATGCCTTTGTGCTAGCCTACTATAATCCCCTACACATTCAGCACGTAGCCTGAAAGAAGGGCAGCCCTGTAATCCACTCAGTCTTTAATGCATTACACAGTGCAGTGAATCGAATAAATACGTTCTAAAAACACAAACGTGGAAGTCATTTTATTATGCAAAGCAATTAAAGAAAAACTATTGCTAGGGAAACTATCACATGAAAACTGCAAAACTTGGTCTGGCCAATGTTATTAGTTGTATTATGGGGGCAGTATTGGGAGAATAAAATCTACTCTTCTCTATAGTTAGAGCCAGCGTGTGACCCCCGCAGCTGTCACATGTGAGCTCTATAGTTTGAGAACTGAGAGATCACAAACCGTTGATTGCTCAGCTCAAGGTCTTCTCCCTGCAGAGACCGGTGACTGTCAGCCACTGTTACCCGCAAGGATTCCTGCCTCCCCTCTCTCTTTTCCTCCAGCCCTCATTGGAGGGACAGACAGGGCAGGGAGTGGGCATAGCTAGATATGGTTCTAGAGGAGGCAGAGCCAGCTATCAAATCAGGCAGTGGGGTGGATCCTGACAATCCTGTAGGGATCTTTTCTGGCTGCACCGTCAGCATAGATGCTGACTTTGGGTAACAGGAGTAAATTAGTAAATGTACTCGTGACCCAAAACAGAAATATAGCCAAAAAAAAAAAAAAGGTTTGGCCATAGATCTCTTTTAACTGTTTGTTTATAAATGTGTATGTTTTGGCAACATTCTGTCTCATCTGCAAGTACAGGAAAATACCTGCTAAATTTGGCAGAAATCTAGTGAGCTCTTGACTTCCTGAGATGTGGGCTGACAACATTGCCCCTACTGTGCTGAAATCCCAAGCAGTGTTGTTAGCCCTAACCAGTTTTTTGCTGGACTACACAACTCCTACATTCTCCTCATGTCCATATGAGAAAGGTGTTCTGTATTCCAGCAAGGGAGAACTCAAGCAGGCCTGAGAGCAAAGGTTGGGATTCCAGTGTAGCAAAGCCATCAGGAAGAACATAGTAATGAAATGAAGCAGCTTATATTCCTTGCATACAAACTTGTCTACATGAACATTGAAACATTTTTCACGGTTATGAAAAGGGGCTTCACAGCTTCAGCTCAGTAGGACAAGCAGCAACACATGTTAATAGATTTGAGGCTTCCATAGTAGCAAAATTACAACAAATATGAATAGTAGGATAGGCAAAAACCCCAGAAGGCACATCCAAAGGTTCACAGTGAAAAAAAAACACATGAAACCCAGATTTCTACATCTAAAGATCTGTAAATGGGCCCTGAGTTTGTACTCTGTCAATATATTTTATTAAGAAAAATAAACAAAGGGTTGTCTCCCTGGGTCACAATGTAACAGGAGCACGTAAGTATAGATGAGTCACACCCATGATGAAAATGAAAACAAAATGCCATCTGAAGCGGAGGCAGCAAATCGCCTTCTAGCTGGAAGTCTCTTAACGATGCCATCTGTCACAGAATCATATGCCTGGATAATCATGGCTGCTGAAACATGACGTTAGAGGATAGAGGAAAGCAACCAAACATAGCACCTCTAATCTTCTGAAATGCATACCATAAAAAAACATCAATGTTTCTAAAAAATAAAGCCCAGGAAGGTCTATGGAATATGGATACAAATGTTTGTAAAAATAAGTGGAGGGAAACATTTGTTTATTTATTGGCCTCCAGCTGGAAAACAATTGTAGCTTAACTGTATAAAACAGTTCTGCAAATGGCACAAGCAACAATAGCTGTACCTGGAAAGATAATTGGAAATAATAAGTTCTTAAGAGGTGCGGGCAGCAGGAGCGGTAAATATTTACAATCTTCTTTCCAGATACAGTGGTACCTCGGTTCACGAACGCTTCTGTTCGCTAACAATTCGGTTCGCGAACAGGAAGTTCAGCAAAAGTAGTTCACAGTAAAGTTGAAAAAAACAAAAAAAAAACACTAAATATTTTTGTTGAAGGTAAATGCCAGTCAAGCACATGGAAAATTATACACTGCCTGGCCAAAAAAAGTCACATGCTCTAATATTTAATTGGACCGCCATTAGCTTTGATTATGGCAAGCATTTCAATAAACTTATGTAATGTCACAACATTTATTCCTGTCCAGAGTTGCATTCAGTTTTCACCAAGATCTTGTAGTGATGATGGGAAGAGTCAAACTACTGCATAAAGTCTTCTACAGGACATCCCAAAGATTTGGGGTTAAGGTCTGAACTCTGTGGTGACCAACCCATGTGTGACAATGGGGTCTCATGCTCACTGAACCACTCTTCACAATTTGGGCCCAATGAATCCCGACATTGTCATCTTGGAATATGCCCAGTGTGCCACCAGGGAAGAAAAAAATAAATTAATGGAAAATCTTGGTCATTCAGTATATTCAGCTAGGCAGCTGACCTCATTTTTTGGTGACATAATGTTAGTGAACCTACCCCTGACCAACTGAAGCAACCCCAGATCATACTCTTATCCATCTGCTTAGCTAAAATCCAGGTGGTTACTTTTTTGGCCATGGAAGTGTATTTACACTAAATTCGGAGACACAGACTACTTCCTGAATTGTAATCTTTTCTCTGACATGCATTTGGCTACCATGCTAGCCAGATCTTTTATACGACAGACACATCCTCTTCTAAATGGTCCTGAATCTGTGAAAATACAGAGCAATGTATCCTTGCACAGAAGTACCACCCTCTCTAATCCAACGTATTGAAGAAAGAAAAAGAGGGTGAACAATACATACCTTGTGCCTTCATGCTCAAAAGCCCTGCAAAATTCCTGCTGAGTCTGACTGCACCAAATGTTTATAAAACTCAGATGTTTCAGCAATTAATGTCTGATAGATAGAATTTCGCAGTTCTATAATAGTTTTGACCTGTTGCCCAGTTTTCTTCTTCTTTTTACACATAGGTTCTGAAAATGAGTGATAACTTACCTTCCCTGCAGTTGCAAAGTATTCACCATCTGGGGACCACTTCATCAAAAGCACAGGCACAGCAGTCCTGTTTGCAAGGAAACATGAAATATTCATACTCATGATGTGCTGTTTCGCAAAGTATGTAAATCAGATTAATAAATAAAGAGAATTGATCTGCTGCTGTAGGTCAGGAATGCTCCTGCTACAATTTAGACGATTGATGTTTGAGCAGAATATCTTAATAAAGCATATACTCAAACAAATGAGCTGGGAAATTACTTTTCGGGAAATAAAGTATTAGGTCAAACAAACACTCAGGTTCTGTATTCCTTGTACACAATATAAAACAGGTGTGATAAATCAAATTAATTCAGTTGCTGCGCTGTCCAGTTTTTGATTCTTTGCCATATCCTTTTTTGGCATTTGATTTACATACTTCAGGCTTTGAAGGTGCAAATCTACGGTGACACATAAGTTAAAGTCTAACTCCGGGCATTTAAAATATAAAGTTGCCTCTCCTTTCCCATCCCTTCCCCCAAATAAATGATCAATTGTTTGTTTCCTCTAGGGCATACATGTCAAACTCAAGGCCCGCGGGCCAGAACCGTCCCGCAACTGAATTATCTCTGGCTTGCCTGACGATAATTATCATTAGATCTGGCCCTGGCCGCCGGCAGCTCTCTCACGCTGCCCGCGGCGATCTTCATGGTACTGAGGACCTGGAGAGCTGCTGCCGGCCAGAGGACTGCATTACCCAGCAGGGAGCCTGGCAGCAGCACAAGGGAGGTGTGGCCGTGAGGTGACTGAGAGGGGTCTCGAGGTCCAGTCCAGATGACATGAGGTGCTCCCTGGCGGGAATCAGGATCCAACACAGACGACTGAGAGCCGGGAGAGCTGCAGCCTGGTACTGTGCTGTGACACTGTCAGTCAGTATATCTCTCCCCTTCTTTTCCATCACTTCTTCTGTACTGTAGAAGTGATGAAGAGCGGGAGTGATGTACTGATAGCAATATCTGTGACACCTGTGTACCGCCTGCCTCCACACTAGTATGTAATCTAAATAGTTTTATCTCTATTATTTAAATTATGGTAAAAATTTTGTGGGGGAGATACTGTCCCCATTGAGCATCCCCCCAACATACTTTTTTTTACTGTAATTTAAATAGAGATAAAACAATTTTTTTTAAAACATCTCTAATTGATGATTTTCCTGATCCCCCACTGATATCTCCCCTGCGCAGAGGAGAGAATGCAGGGGAAGTATCCACAGAAGCGGGCACCAGATGGAAAATCTTTTTCGTAAGTAAATTCTTTTGTTGTAAATGCACTGTACTATTTAACGTCTGTTTTTGGCTTTTATTATTTAAATATTTAGGCTATTTCTTAAAGGGAAAGTAAATAAAGTTAAAAAAAAATGTTTTATTGTAATTATGTACCATGCTTATTTATAATTAAAAGTACAGGTTTGTTATTATACCTTGTGATATACTGTATAGGCCGCTGTTTTATACTGTGTGATATACTGTATAGGCCGCTGTTTTATACTGTGTGATATACTGTATAGGCCGCTGTATTATACTGTGTGATATACTGTATAGGCCACTGTATTATACTGTGTGATATACTGTATAGGCCACCGTATTATACTGTGTGATATACTGTATAGGCCGCTGTATTATACTGTGTAATATACTGTATAGGCTGCGGTATTAAACTGTGTGATATACTGTATAGGCCGCTGTATTATATTGTGTGACATACTGTATAGGTCGCCATATTATACTGTGTGAACCAACCCGGCCCTCGACTTGGAGCATTTTTTTAATTTTGGCCCACTGTGTATTTGAGTTTGACACCTCTGCTCTAGGGGATGGACTAACACACACCAATACTTACCTTAACCAGTGATCCCATGACAGTTGCTCTCCAGCGCTGGAATGTAAGTACACACTCCTACTAGTTGCCACATCGCATCCTGATGACGTGACCACTGGCCCTGCACTGTACATAATGACACTGGTGAGAAGGGCAGTGACAAAAATAGTTTGAGAAAGGCAAGAAGAGCATCACCTGGGAGACTAGTCCCACTTGAACCAGCAGGAAATAAGACCATATCCGTCATCCTTTATTGTTTAACTGCTCAGAGCATGGTTTTTCAAAAAAGTAGAAATGCTTGTTGCAGGGGTATACACTATTAGTAGACCCCCCCTCAGGAAACAGCTAAGTTTTTTTCTAGTTCTATACCAGCTTACCACTAGGTGTCCTTTTACCTTTGCAAAACTGCACTAGCTCTGCCAGGTTGGAGGGGGAGATTTTGTAATTATCAGTTGGACTAGGTCTGGCCATTGAATGTGTCATTCTAATAAATTCAGGCTGTTGGAGGGGGGCCGGCTTAATTCAGACAAGTACAGGGATGTGCTTTATCAATGTGCTTAGGGCAATTCAATGAATGGGAGTTATTAAAAAAAAGGGAAAATTACAAGAGGAGAGCTCAGTCATGTGACCTGCCAAAGTCACAGACTCAATACCTCTAAAATGCCTGCATTTTTTTAAAATGGGCCGCAAATGCCAGCAGTAGTGTTTAATAATACTCCGACGTAATAGCAATACCAGCCCCTTCGTTTTTGTCTATTAAAAAAGGTCATTATCCTGCTGGAAGTGGAACATCCATCCCAGTCTCAGACCTCCTGCAGACTAAAACTGCTTTCTAGAACTGACATATATTTGGCTTCATCCATCTGGCCAGTTTCCCAATTCCTGACAGTAAAAAGAGTCCCCACAATGTTATGCTACCACCACAAAACACTATCGAGACGATGTTATCAGGGTTAAGTGCAGGATTGATTTTCAACCACACAGAGTTTCGTGCCAAGTCCAAAAAGTTTTCTTTTGGTCTCACTCTACAAGGCTTAATCCCAACATGTTTTGAAAGCTCCTTGGTTTTCATGATGCGGTTTCAATATGTTTTCTAACAAACTCTTTGGCCTTAAAAGAAACCGGTGTGCTAATTTTGAAATCATTTGACTTATTGCACACTGACGGACTCCTTTCAACTAATTGTGTGATATCTGCAACTGCTTGCACCAGAGCTTATTTAGAGATTAGTAAATACTTACACAAATCGCATCCTTCCAGTGAAGATTTTATATTTTTGCAAAACCTTTACAGCAGATGTCATACAGGAATGAAATGTCACAGAAGAAATTCTGTAATTTCAGAACATTATCAGAGGCAGCGCAGCGTGTTCAGCACCCCATCTCAACTTACTTGCACTGCCAGATACAGTTCCAGTCATTCAAGGAAGGTTGAACATTATCCTCTATGAGGTTTCTGTCAATATCATCCTCTTCCTCTTCTAGAATGTCACTACGAGGTGGTGCCCACAACTTCAGGTACTCGGTGGCTGTCAACAGTCTGTTACCTGCAGATTATATTTCTTACAGTTTTCTATAATATAACGTATATAATGAAGCCCTAATGTATACATTTTTATATTTTAGAGCACTAATAATTAAAATGCGTACCATATTTTTACTGTTACTAAAACACAAAAGGTTACAATGAACAAGAAATGAAACCCTATGTAGTCCCAGTTAGTGTCACACCTTTTTTTAAAAAGACAGTCATGTAAGAAAACAATTAAAACAGTATTTATATCTTAATAAACATAAACAGAACCTAGTGCAAGCTAATATTAACTTCATAGCAGAAGGATGTACAAATAACAATGAACTGATATATCAATAATAGAAAAGCAGAGCGGTCACATGAGCTGGGCAGTGCAGGCCTATTAGCACTGAAGCTTTCCACAGTCATAAGCACCCAAGGCAATACATTGCATAAGGATATTCAGTGGTAACTTGCTTACCTTGAGGATCCCATGCCAAATTGTACGTCACAGAGCTAAGGAAAAACTGGCCAGTCCTAACCCACTGATATTTAAGCTCCTAAAAAAAAAGAAAAGAAATAGGTTTGGAAAGCTCTCAATTCATAATTACATTGAGTAACATATACCCTACAGTAGTAATAAATTAACAAAAATTTAAAATACACAGCTTTAATCCAGTCACTGAATCATTAAAAAACAAGATTTGTTTTTCTTTATTTTAGATCCTTTGCACAGCTGAAGAAACCAGCAATCTAAACCAATTGGGACTGCTTTCTATGGAGCGGTCTTTCTAGCACTCGATCAATCTTAGGCTCCATTCACACCTGAGCGGCTGTACGGATACGCGCAGAGTCACTCTAAACAGAGAATACAATGCACTTCAATGTGCATCGTTCAGACTATTGCAGGGAGCCTCTGAAATAGTATAGGCTCGATAATCCGTCGGATTCCACACATTCGCGGCTATTTAAAAGGCCGCGAACGAGCGGCATCCGTGCGGATTGAAAATATTAGCGTTCTCATCCTGCACAGTCTTCTGCGCGGAAAACCAACGCTATATGTGAATGGAGCCTACTTCATTGTGTGGAATTTATTTATGGGAGTTATCAATGCTTGCAAATGTTCCCACTTTCTTTATCTCTAGGGCTGCTGCATAATCCTGTTGGAGGACCCATGACCTGCGACTTTGACTTCAGATTTCCTGGTAGTCTTGAGATTTGATTGTGCCCTGCACAGATTAAAGATGCCCCATGATAGACACAGCAAAGCAGCACCAAAACATGACCAAGCTTCCTCCACATTTTACAATAGCTACAGTATTCTTTTCTTTATGTTTTTCTTTCAACTGTCCAGTGCATCTGGATGGTGTGATCAGACACTGATGTACCTAACCCTGGAATTCAGCTTGTGTCTCTTTGGAAGTTTTTCTTTGTCTACCATTCGTATTATCCTTCTGTTCAATCTGGAGCTGGTTTTCCTGCTGTGGCCACATCCAGGGAGGTTGGCTACACTCCCATGGACCTTAAAATACTTAATATTTGCAACTGTAGTCACAGGAACATCAAGCTGCTTTGAGTTGGTCTTACAGCATTCACAATGGACATGCTGGTCTATAATTTGTTTTTCTGATCTCCTCAGACAACTCTCTCCTTTGCTTTCTCTGGTCCTTGTCCAGTGTGGCACACAATAATACCAAACAGTGACTACTTTTCACCATTTAAATAGGTTGACTGACTACATGATTAAAGAGGTATGATAATTATAGAAAACAATTATGAAATATTTATAATCCTTTCCAGGGTAAACAGCAAATCCATCCAGGCCTTTCAGAATATCTTTGTAGAACAAGCTATAATTTATCACGTCACACTTTGCTCTACTCTATGACATACCAAACCCATGCAGGTATACAAAACAGCTTTTCATTGTATCACATTTTAGGAGGAATAGAGCTTTGTTTCAATGAGTTGTAAGGGTATCGACAAATGTTTCCACGTCTGTACAGAAGTTATAATCCTAAATGATGTTATTGGGCTAATAAATAAGAAATTATTGTAAATACTTACACTGTTTCGTTTATGAGAGTTAACTGTACCAAGAGGTTCAAAAATGCAAACAGTGTTCCCATATGATGCAGCAATCTAAAAACAAAACAAAAATATAACTATCACTAGTAACATACAGGTTACACTATTTTCTCTTGCAACATTTTTTTGATATTACCACATGAAGCAAATATTTAAAAAGCTACAGAACACTTTAGTGACCCTTTTGCACATCTCATACTTAACTCCAGGAAAAGCAAATATATTATAAATACAAGAGGCATGTGTACTATTGCTTGAATCTTCCAGATCTACGTAGTAATCAAGTGCAGGGGTGTGGACATTTTTTTTTAAACTACTTGTCCAAGGACTTAAGTGGGGGCCCAATCTACTTGTCCTGATACAAAACATTTGAACCAAAACCGTATTTACTCGTTCTAAGCGAAGCTGGAGCTTCCTGTATTATGACCAGTCACTGCGGTTCTCTCTCACTGTGCAGGGTGACTAGTCTTGTATCCGGCCCACTATTATCTCACCACTACTTTTTGGGTTTGCAAAGGCATTTGGTCTTCACAAAGTAGATTTTTATCCTTTGTGGCGATTGATGAATATACCTGCCATCAAAGCTTTACATCATTAGCTATTCTATTTATACCTTGCATATATTTGTTGGTACTTTGGTGGAGTAGCAGAGTTACCACATTACTCCCTAAATGAGTAGGCAAAAGGCAACAAAAACACAGATCTGGGATTCATCTGGTTCCAGCTCATTCTTAGTCCCAGCAATGCATTTTTGTTTAACCTGGGTTTTACGGGCTAAAAGAAAAAAAATCAGATGCCTCCATTCATGATGCTAAACAGCATGGATGGCAGAATCTCCTGTTGCAGGTATTGTATTAATTTCAAATTCAGTTCTTAGTAGATGCATACAATTTCTGATCTCTCTGGGACTCTGGTGAGTTCTTTGGTTTTCAAACCTGATATTGTCATTTTGAGGGAAACTCACACTCTTTGCTGAATTTTTATTTAATTTATATAAAACGGAGAATGGAACAGGAAGAGCTGAAACACACAAAACTCCTTAGTGGAGAGCACCTAGTCAGAAATTATGGGAGGGAGAGCTTGCTGTTGGAATCACTTTTGGCTGGATAAGTTTAGCAAATAGACAGGACACCTAACCTTGACCTGCTGCACATGAGGCTGTCTAACTTTGAACTCCAGGTCTGTATGCATTTATTTGTTCTATGATATTTGCTGTAATTCCTAACAAAGAGGAAACGGCTTTTATTATCACACTTGTCTAAAGCTTCTGATAGTGAAAACTGTCCCTTCCAAGAAGCCCCTCAATGCTTAACATAGGCAAGACAAGAAATACTGACTTTCTTTTTCCAGTACACTCCTCTGTTCATTTAGGCAGCACCAATGAACATATAATGAATCATTAGCCATGGTTAAAACCCCTTTCCCATTCTGGAGGCCCTTTACTTCATGTCCTGTAGATACAACAGGAAGTGACAGAAAATCTCTCCAAAGTGAAGGTAAATTCTCTCTTACACAACTGACTCTGAACATGGGTTTCAATTGGAACATTTATCCTCCACATCTCCTGAAATTCTCCACAGTGGGGACACAGATGAAATAAAAATGACCATTCCCTCTTATATCACAAAAAGGAAAAAAAAAAAGTTTTAGAGATTAACACTTATGCTGCAACTCGTACTGCATATCAATAAGCTTTTGAAGCAAATCCAAGATGGTGATCTTAGAAGAAGAAAACCCATGTAAGGCTGTGTATACCCTGGTAGATTATTGCATTAACTTTCATTTCATGTTTTGTCAGAACATTCGATAATGCCATCAGGGACTTTATGAATGTCGTTCAGAATTTCATTTGATTTTAACCTTTGATTTTGGAATTAATGGAGTTTCCAGAATAAAAGCCACATTCACTGTTAGAAATTTATTGGAGAGAAAACTTCCATCCCACTCCCTCAGTTTGTTTCATCACTACAGTCAAAATCAGTTGTTGATTTCATCCCAATAACTATAGCATTAAGTTTAGGGAAGAGAAGGCTTGCTGTATGTCATACAAGTTGTTTCCCCCCAAAAAATAGAGTATTAAAGATAACAGAAAGGTCTTACCCGTCCTTGTTGCTGGGAACATTCCACACAGCTAACCTGGATATTTCCATGTTTAGCACCAGGAATTATCTGTACACACTCAAAATCACTTGCTAGTATGACAATATCACAGCCTGATCCATATGCCTGAAAAACAAATAGATAGGTTAAAATAACCACTTAAAAGCTATTAGACTAATGAATGCTAACTACGGACATTGTGTTTATACCAAGTTATGAAAAAGGACATTGTTTTAATCTGTTTTTCTTGCGCTACTCCCAAATTTTAATGGAACCAAAAGCTGCAATCACAATTTTTATCTGTGTTGCCATCTGCAAGTGAAATTTGGCATACAAGCAAAGCAGGGCTCTACATACAGTCCACCTACTACTGGATAGAAAAATTTAAATGAACAGGGTCTCCACATTGAGGAAAGATAAGCTTTTGAAATAAACATTAAAAAAAGAAAAAGACCGTCTGGGAGGATTAATTCTGAACAAGCTCCTTTGTTTACCCCAAAATAAGAACAGGTCCTGGGTTATCTGCTCACCAATTGTGCATAGTTTAGTCCAGGGGTGGACAAATCAATATGGAATACAGCAGCCACCTGGCACCCAGGATTTGTCCAGCCCTGGCTTATTCTATATTCATTTTACGGATCGTCTAAAGTTAAACCACACTTTCATATCCATGGCTAGCAATAGCTCTACACTAAGACAAGAGAAGCAGAAAGGCATACCCATCATGTGGCATAGCATAGCATGTACTGCATATGTAATGAACACGTATGGCTGCTTTCATAAATAAAAAGCCAAAAGTAAAAACAGCTTGTAAAATGCACGTTGGTAAAACGATTTACAGTAATCTGATCAGATTCTCACACATATCAAATAAAAGTTACAAATGTCAATAACATACAGTATACTCACTAATAGTAACAAGCCTGCAATGAAATAAAATAAATAATATATCAACTCAAGTTAAACAAACTAAAAGGTCATCAAAACATGTTATATTAGTAAAAATAATTTAACGTTGTCCACCAGAAGCTACACAGATACCCTCATATCTTATGAGTGAGTAGATAATCAAAGTTGTTGTACAAGAAAAACAATGTTAATAATCATGGATAAAAGAATAGCAATGCTTAGATTTCAGTGACAGTTGGTCATATATTACAGTGAGAGCCATGATAACACCATAATCCTCTCAGAACCACTTATCTTTTACAGCAAATGTCTTCAAATAATTTATAGTGCCTGAACATTATTGGTAATGAATGAAAAATACTGTGTACGTCATAAAACATAAAAGCAGAACACAGTCCCTCTAATGTCCATGTATTCGCTTGCGTTGTGGCTTACTGTCAGCTGCGACAAGTATATTTATTGTAACAAATTTTAAGTTGTCAAAGGCTTATGCCACAAAATAGCAACATTAAAAGAAGTCTTATCTTATCTCCAATTATTTTAACATACTAGCTGTTACTGAAACCTGGCTTCAGGAATCTGACTCTGCCTCCCGTCGCCTTCTCCCATGGTGGCCTCCACTGGACACACTCACCCAGAGCCAGTGGACGTAAAGCAGGTGGAGTGGACTTCTCTGCCTGGCTACCCAGCTTTCTCTCCTCAGAAATACCCACTATCATTCTGGGTGACTTCAACATTGCTACTAACATTAACACCCTGGCTGCCACTCAACTTCTCAACCTAACCTCTTCTTTTGACCCAACACAATGGGGACACACTCCTACTCACCTGATGGCAACATCCTAAATCTTGTGTTCTCTCACCTATGCACTTCCTGCAACCTCTCCAACACCCCTTTCTCCCTCTACAACCTGGTCAGTTTCATGCTCACCCTGTCCCCAACCCGGAATCCCCCTAAATCAGCACACTGTTACCCAGAGAAACCTTCGCAAGCCGCACTCTGGAGCGAGTGTGGCATAAAACTAGGTCTCTACAAAGCTTTGCACTATACAAAGCTGCCCTCCTAAAATATAATTCCTTCCTCCGTGCTGCCAGACAGACTTATTTTGTCACTCTCATTAACACACTCATTTATACCTCGTCAACTCTTTTCTACTTTTAACTCGCTACTATGTCCCCCACTAACTCACTCACTACCCAGGATATTGTCATTCATTTCAAAAACAAAATAGATACAATTCGGGATGAAATTCCCACTGTCCAGTCATTTTCCCCTATTCATGTACCAGACCCACCATCACACTTGTTACTTTCCTCTTTTCACCCTGTCACCACATAGGAGGTTACAAAGCTTTTCTATGACACCCTCCTCACCACTTGCCCCCTGGACCCTGTTCCCCCACCCTCTTACTCTAGCCTACACTCTCTTACTCACATTTTCAATCTTTCCCTCCCCTCTAAAAAATGCACTGGTCATCCCAATACCCAAACAACCTTCACTGGACCATACCACCCTTAATCTCAGAGCAATCTCCTTACTCCCATTCACCCGCAAACTCCTAGAACGCCTTATCTACAACCGCCTGAGCCGCCATCTCACTGATGATCTCCTTGACCCGTTATAGTCCGGCTTTCGCCCCTACATTCCACTGAAACCTCCCTCTAGAGCTGCAGCTAACGATTATTTTCAAAATCGATTAGTTATCCTAAAACTCACTAATGACTTTAATAACTGCTAAAAACAAACAATGGCCACTACTCCTTACTCTTGCTATTAGAACTTTCTGCTGCTTTTCACACAGTTGACCACCCGCTGCTCCTCAAAAAACTCCACTCGCTTGGCCTAGAAGACTCTGCTCTCTCCTGGTTCTCCTCCTACCATATCTAAGCACTCCTTTAGTGTTACATACAAATCTAACTCCTCCCCTCCTCTTCCTCTAGGGGTCCCCAAAGGCTCTGTCCTTGGACCTCTTCTCTATCTACACCTCCTCCCTTGGTCAGTTAATAATCTCAAATGGCTTCCAATACCATCTTTATGCTGATGACACTCAAATATATTTCTCCACTTCACAATTCACCCCCTCAGTGTCCTTACGTATCACTAATTGACTAACCTTCATATCCATTTGGATGTCACAACACTTCTTAAAGCTCAATCTTTCAAAAACTGAGCTCATGGTATTTCCTCGCCCCATGCACCCTCCCCCAACTTTTTGATCAGGGTTGATAACACAACTATCCATCCCTCCCCCCATGCCAAGGTGCAAAACACCCCTCGTTGGAAAAAGTACATGAGCTAATTCTCTGCAGTTTTCTGCGCTTTTGACCCCATAGACTTCAAATGCCTTTTTGCGCGTTTTTGTTATGCACAAGCACAATTTACCAGCTGAAAACGTGTGTAAAAACACTTTTTAAACTGCCTTAAAACGTTCGACAAACACATGTAGATGTGCAATGAAACCCACAAAAACGCTAGAAGAAAATGTACACCAAAACGCTGTTGCCTGGGTTTGAACTGAGGCTAAAGTCAAAACTTTTTTTTTGGCTTTGCTTTTTTTGGGTCACTGGAGTACATTTACTAACCTTCTCCTGTAAACCAAAGTCAGCATCTAGTGAGCTACTGCCCTCTATATGTTGACAGCGCAGGGCTGCACTGCAGCTGGGAAGGATCCAAACAATATTGTCGGGATTTACCTGGCTGCCTGATTGACTGCTGGTTCTGCCTCTGTAGATCCACAGCCAGCTGTGCCCGCCCCCTCTCCTGTCACCAATAAGTGCTGGAGGAACATAGAGAGGGGAGGGGGGAAACCCAGCGGGGAGCAGTGACTGACAGTTGTTACTCTCTGCAGTGAGGAGACTGCAAGCTGAGCAATCAGTAGTTAAATTACGTGGGCTCCAAGTATTGGAAAGAGTATATTCTCTCCTTTAATGTAAACTTGTGCTTTGGCCATGCAGAACAGAACAGGTTCACTGTAATCCCCTGCACCCCAGCATCATATACTCACCTTTTCTTTGCACCTTCCCCATTTTGTTTGGCTGCTAAGAGACGAAGCTGTCCTGTGCAAGTTATAAGTCACTCAAATGGTAGCTTGCAGGGTTTGGAACCCATGTGACTCAGTACTGTTACATTGAATAAGGTTTCCCTCCTGGCGGCGGCAATTGTTTTCTCTGCTTAACCCACTATCATCTTCAAATAAGGTAAAAAGTTTAGCTATAATGTGTTAGTTTGCACAGCATATTAGCACATTATAACAGTCTTACCTTCCAAAGCAATGTTAGGACTCTCCTCCCTTGTCAGTACTTCCATCTTAGTCCCAGTCTTCCTCCGGGCCCGGAGTCTTTGCCCACCAGGCTCCATCGACCTAACTACAGGAGTTAATTCATGTGGGCAAGAATTCTGCTGAGCTTGTACAGTGAGCTGCACATGTAATGCTATGATAGCCCAAACATTTTTGCAATTCTAGTACCAACACATTTTTTTTTAATCATGATTTCCCCCGATTATACTTTTTACTTATTTTACATTACACAGAAAGCAACTGAAGATGTGCAACTCCTGCCAAGTTTCAGAAAATGCAGCTGTGAGCTGACAGACACTTCACAGTTGCTGGAATGACATTCCTGTCCTTCATCCAGGTGGACCTTGTCACTGGGATTTGTCCTGCACTGTGCTACATCAAACCGATTCAGATCCAATTTGGCAATTATAAATGGCACTGCTGTGTTTAAATATCAGACAGGCCAGATGGAAAATCCGCTTGCATTGACCCCCGTACAATCTAAGGCAACATGGCCAACGTTTCCCGATACATATGCTTAGATAGTTTGTCATATTGTGCATTTACACCTTTGTGGTTTACAAAATGAAAAACAAATCTTTTAAAACTAACTTTCTTTGCTTTAAATTAAAGTGCCCCTAAACTAAGGAGTTAAATGTTAAAATACATTCAAGTACCTTACCAAAACTGTATCTTATTTGTGTATCACTCAGCTGTAGATCCTCAAATCATCTCTGAATTGGTTTTGACACTGTCCTTCCTTCTGGAGGGTGGCTACTATTGTTCCCTATGGTGCCTGTGTGTGTTGTAAAGTAGTCACTGCTCCAAGACCACTCCTGTGATGGACTACAATCTCAATACTAATTAGTAAACTAAACATGAGAGTGTAGTCCATCATGGGAGTGAGCTTAGAGCGGTGACTACTTTATAACACACACA